TTCTTTACACTGCTTAAATTCCCATAAGAAGACAATTCGTAATTGTACTGGGTGATGATTGAAGGTGGGGTGGAAGTCTGGACAGCTGTCGGATTGGAACCAGCGACCACCAGGTTATTGACCCGGTGCTCTACCAACTGAGCTACGAGGTCCGACTGCTGACCAGAATTGTTATTCCACTTCTATCATCACCCAGTACAAATACTAGTTTGCCGAGCTACGGTTATCTTAGATAGTCAAATCATAAACAGTTCATAATGTTGTGTAAACGAGTATATAATATGTATATTTTGTTGTTGCAGTATGTCATGCAGAGAATTCCAAATTGTGCCGGAAATTGTTTGGAATAAATTGATTACCGTCATTATTATTCATTGTTAAAATTTACTCGGTGATGGTGGTAATAACTGACAGTGGAATCCACCACACACACTTCGTCCTATGAATGACTGCTCACCTGAAATCATAGTAGTAATAGCATAACAGCCTCTGGTGCCCTCAGTGGCCTAGTTGATACTGTTCCGGTGTATGGGATTCCATTCTTCGTGGGACCTATGTACATCCAACTAACTGCTGAACCCTAAACAGCATGAAACGCACGTCTTGGATTCCACCGGTGACCGTGTGTGTCACTCACTCAATTAGCTATCTGGTTTTTCTCTACTATTTCCTTTTGTTATTTTCATCGACCTTTGGAAGTCGATCGTCGAATCTGATGTACTCGTAAAAGTTTAGTTTACAGTGATGTTAAACAGTTAGTCGGTAACAAATTGTTTGTTAAATATCAGTACTGAAGGCATAGTCATTGAACACTTGACACCTGATTCATGTGATCAACAAGAAGCAGCTGTAGTCAACCTCTATCTAATTCAATAAGCCTTCTTGACTGTTGTCTGATTAGATTATCCTTTGTCAACCTCAGGTGTTTATTCCTTCACACTCTTATTTAGTTGCATCATCCTCTGTTCACATCGAATGTTTTTCGCTAACTGAGCTTAACTGACAGTATTTTGCTTATTTGTCCATCGTATGACCTGGTTACATACTCTTATAGTTCTAGGTCGCTGAATAATATGATTATCATTGTTAGTGTTATTTTATTCGATAAGCTCCCACCGGATTATTCAGGGGGTGATTATGGCCATTGTTACCAACCCTGGTTGAATATTGGCATTATGGTTGAGACCTTTCTATACGACAATTTCTATCCATCTTAGCCAACTGACGGATATTCTGTTTGCTTTCAATCAATTAAGGCATGTTGAATTTTGAGTACAACTACACATACTTTAATTTGTTGGGGAGTTTTGAGGAGGTGACAAGGTACCACTGTGTGTTTGTATCCTGCTGCCGAAGTTGTTTTTGCCTTTTTCCACATACATAAAGGGAAACTCGTGTATGTGATATGGCTGGGAATAGATGGCAATAGCATGGATGTCTCCACACATTATTTTCATGTTTATTGTCCTACGGAATTTCAGTATCCTCTTATCCCACCTTGGTGTCTTTTCACGACTTTCTACCACTTTCCAGTGCTTCCCTCCTTATTTCTGGAACTTTCACGTTTCAGCATTCTCGCTTGGTGTGCTGATATTAGGTATGAGAACTTGGATCGCTACACAGTACTGTTATGTCTTAGACTGATACTATCTGTGTTTGTTTGTCAATCAATACTAAGACGATCTTGCCGAGAACCACATACACCAGAAAGTTGTCAGTCAATGTGCTTGAATACACTGAACAGTGAGAAATTAAAAAATCTAACTAACTGTGAACCAGTCTAAATTTAGCTGATGCATGTTTATTTGAAGTAACACAGAATCTGTAGATAGATCAAAGAACTTCATTCTCAAACTGGAAGAAGTGAGTGATTCATCTTTGAAAAAAACACTTTAAGGTTTTAATGGTGATACCAAGTATCGAGAATGTTTACTGGGATAAAGATTGAAATGAAGAAAATAAAGATGAACTCCACTGACAAGATTTTCACTTCTGAATAAAATTTCCAGCTAGAGAAATTTCGTTTGTGTGAACAATTCGACTGGATCTTTAAGATATAATTGTCTGGCAGCACCACTGTTGATCTCAGCCTAAAACGAGTAAAATGGTCATCTGGTGTCTAGGTCACTGTAATATGCCCAACTAAATCGACAGATCAGTGTGATTGGTTTCTTATTATTCTAGTTTTTCAGTAATAGTATACTTTGCTACACTTGTGTGTCATGTCGTAGCTGCGGGATGCCTTGTGGAGGAAATACTGTTAACATTGTTGATGGGCAGTTGAAGAAAACTACTCATCCGTGAGAATTGTCAGCGTGAAGTGATAAATTTTCAAATAATTCTGATAATTTCATTCTCTTGTTAGTTGAACAAGTATTTTTGAAGGGATTCTGTCCATAGTGGGAATAAAAAGAAGACATTACTTATTTGAGTAGCCTACACATTTGGGACTGATATACACAATCTCTAAAAATATTATTTCCCAATAGATAAGCACTCTGATGATCACAAATCAATCTCAGTGTTCAACATCAACGTAATTTTCTCCGACAATGGTCACTTGAACCCATAATATTGATAGCTTAAAAGTTATCAATTACCTGATCGGTAGTGTTTGCGATGTAAATAACCGTGACTTTTAAGCCTCTAGTTATACACTACCTAATCAGTGGATCAGAGTCCTTAAAAGTCTGGTTTCCAGTGTAACTGTTGATCACATAGACGATTATCTCTCACTTATCAGGATCTGCATTTTAGTAATCCCCGCAATAACAAAGACTTCGTGAATCTCAACGTAACATGACTGAGATTAGATTATCTTTCTGATATAATTTATTGTCCACAGTCACATCATCTCAAGACTGTGAGATCAACATAGCTCTAGTTCATTCTCATTTTTTGTGATAAAGGTAGTAGGATTTTCCGTGTATCCTGAACAGCTGCTGACTGATTCGTGTTGCATACATTTGTTGTCGATTTGATAAACAATGATGATTCGGTTATCAATCTCTCCCTTCAACCCACTTGGATTATTTTAAGGATTGTTATTGTTCACTCCAGTTGTATGGTTGTGTGTGATTGCATGCATAACTATGGCCGAATTGTTTTCTACATGCCTTATCTTCCTTGGATCTACCGATTTTGATTTAACTCGAATAACCTAATTGACCCTAATCGACTACTTTGACCTGTGTATTTGACCCCACAAGCGAAAAGGTTAAACGGGTAGAAATAAAGACCAACCCTTCACAGATAACATGAACTCAAGGTTTTCACAATAGATGACTATTGCCTTAACATTCCTAAAGCTTTGAAATGTCTCGTCTTATTCAGAAGTAAGTAGTGATGAGGAAATCAGCACCACGGAAGCGCTACGAAGGCTTTTCAATAAAGTTAGGATTAAAGTGGTATTTAAACAAACAGATTCGCTTAGAAACAATCTTTGTAGGTTAGAAGATTCTATTGACCAAATTTGGTCATCATCATGCGATTAAGTAAAAGAATTTAGCTTACCAAGCCCCTGGAAATGATTGTGAGATCGAATACATGGGTCAGATTAGTCGACCAGGGTCGATTAGAATAACAGAGTACAAAAACTTAGCTAAATGAAGATCGGTAGATCATAATAAGATAAGAAGTTTAGGGAGAATCTCATCTATATATATGCATAGAATTACACACAAATGGGTGTGATAGAGTAATAGCGTTAGAAATAATCTTATTTTGGTGGGAGAAGAGATTGATAAATGGATCTTTCTTTATAGAATCAACCTAGACCTCAACGCTGTATAAATGGTTGCGTCACATCCCACTGCGTTTACAAATTTACATGTATGTGTGGGCAAACCTACATACGGAGAAATAGTCGTGATATGCACTTGAGGGTAGGGGAATATGTTCCAAAATGGCTACGAAAGCAGCTGGATTCACAATCACTGATAAGCGTAGATGGCAGACAACCATCATCCGTATCCACATCATTGATAAGAGTCACAGGATTGATATTAAAACAGCCTTTACAGTTTTATATAGAAACTGTCAGGGGTGTATACTTAAGTTTGTTGAGGCACTAGCCATAAATCAGTTTAACTCTCCATTGTGTGTGGAAAAACAGTTTGTCCTTACATTAAGCCTACCTTGGTAATGCTCATTTTGAGGGAGTTGTGGGGATTTGGAAACATTTCAAGTTGTTATTCATCGTAGACTGACATCAGTTGGTGGAACAAACGAAACTTGGGAGCACCGGACAGCTGTATGTCCTAGTAGGGAATGGTAATGGATGGCAGTTGCGCTATATTGTGAACTAACAGAAGTTGGAAATATGGACCATTGGATTCTGACCCAATGGCTAGGGAACCTGAAGGTCACGGGTTCGATCTCTGAGGGCGGGGTCGTGGGCGCACACTGCTGAGGAGTCCCATACTAGGACGGAACAGCTGTCCAATGCCCCTAGGCTTCCTTTGTTCCTCCAACTGATGTCAGTCTACGATGAATAACAACTTGAAATGCTTACTTTATCGTATTACCAAGATTGTCTTCAAATCTAATCTTTTTTTCTCTCCCATTATGATTTTTATTATTGAATTCCTTTATGTTATATTTGTTCTCCCCCCATTTCCAGTTTTCATTTGTAATACTTCCTTAACAAGTAAATGTCTTGTGATCAGATTGTTCGAAATATATAACGCTAAAACATCATATGTTGTTCAGATAATCTACGTCTTCTAATTACATTATCCAAAAACAGTATCAGAATTATGCAAACTATGTGTAAAAGCTGCGCAGTTACCTAATATGAATATAGAGAATAAATTGTGTCCGAAATGTGATCCAGTAAATAATACTGTTCCTTTACCATAAGACACTTCTAATAAACAGAAAATAATCCCAGTATTATTGAGAATTCTCTGTAACGCTCCTGAAGTGCCTTTCTTAACTGATAAAATCTCAAAGGCTGTGAATTCTCTCTCAACTCTCTCAACAATATTAGCAGAGTTATTATGAATAACACCTGTGTTACTACTACTACTACTACTACTACTACTACTACTACTACTACTACTACTACTACTACTACTACTACTACTACTACTACTACTACTACTACTACTACTACTACTACTACTACTACTACTACTACTACTACTACTACTACTACTACTACTACTACTACTACTACTACTACTACTACTACTACTACTACTACTACTACTACTACTACTACTACTACTACTACTACTACTACTACTACTACTACTACTACTACTACTACTACTACTACTACTACTACTACTACTACTACTACTACTACTACTACTACTACTACTACTACTACTACTACTACTACTACTACTACTACTACTACTACTACTACTACTACTACTACTACTACTACTACTACTACTACTACTACTACTACTACTACTACTACTACTACTACTACTACTACTACTACTACTACTACTACTACTACTACTACTACTACTACTACTACTACTACTACTACTACTACTACTACTACTACTACTACTACTACTACTACTACTACTACTACTACTACTACTACTACTACTACTACTACTACTACTACTACTACTACTACTACTACTACTACTACTACTACTACTACTACTACTACTACTACTACTACTACTACTACTACTACTACTACTACTACTACTACTACTACTACTACTACTACTACTACTACTACTACTACTACTACTACTACTACTACTACTACTACTACTACTACTACTACTACTACTACTACTACTACTACTACTACTACTACTACTACTACTACTACTACTACTACTACTACTACTACTACTACTACTACTACTACTACTACTACTACTACTACTACTACTACTACTACTACTACTACTACTACTACTACTACTACTACTACTACTACTACTACTACTACTACTACTACTACTACTACTACTACTACTACTACTACTACTACTACTACTACTACTACTACTACTACTACTACTACTACTACTACTACTACTACTACTACTACTACTACTACTACTACTACTACTACTACTACTACTACTACTACTACTACTACTACTACTACTACTACTACTACTACTACTACTACTACTACTACTACTACTACTACTACTACTACTACTACTACTACTACTACTACTACTACTACTACTACTACTACTACTACTACTACTACTACTACTACTACTACTACTACTACTACTACTACTACTACTACTACTACTACTACTACTACTACTACTACTACTACTACTACTACTACTACTACTACTACTACTACTACTACTACTACTACTACTACTACTACTACTACTACTACTACTACTACTACTACTACTACTACTACTACTACTACTACTACTACTACTACTACTACTACTACTACTACTACTACTACTACTACTACTACTACTACTACTACTACTACTACTACTACTACTACTACTACTACTACTACTACTACTACTACTACTACTACTACTACTACTACTACTACTACTACTACTACTACTACTACTACTACTACTACTACTACTACTACTACTACTACTACTACTACTACTACTACTACTACTACTACTACTACTACTACTACTACTACTACTACTACTACTACTACTACTACTACTACTACTACTACTACTACTACTACTACTACTACTACTACTACTACTACTACTACTACTACTACTACTACTACTACTACTACTACTACTACTACTACTACTACTACTACTACTACTACTACTACTACTACTACTACTACTACTACTACTACTACTACTACTACTACTACTACTACTACTACTACTACTACTACTACTACTACTACTACTACTACTACTACTACTACTACTACTACTACTACTACTACTACTACTACTACTACTACTACTACTACTACTACTACTACTACTACTACTACTACTACTACTACTACTACTACTACTACTACTACTACTACTACTACTACTACTACTACTACTACTACTACTACTACTACTACTACTACTACTACTACTACTACTACTACTACTACTACTACTACTACTACTACTACTACTACTACTACTACTACTACTACTACTACTACTACTACTACTACTACTACTACTACTACTACTACTACTACTACTACTACTACTACTACTACTACTACTACTACTACTACTACTACTACTACTACTACTACTACTACTACTACTACTACTACTACTACTACTACTACTACTACTACTACTACTACTACTACTACTACTACTACTACTACTACTACTACTACTACTACTACTACTACTACTACTACTACTACTACTACTACTACTACTACTACTACTACTACTACTACTACTACTACTACTACTACTACTACTACTACTACTACTACTACTACTACTACTACTACTACTACTACTACTACTACTACTACTACTACTACTACTACTACTACTACTACTACTACTACTACTACTACTACTACTACTACTACTACTACTACTACTACTACTACTACTACTACTACTACTACTACTACTACTACTACTACTACTACTACTACTACTACTACTACTACTACTACTACTACTACTACTACTACTACTACTACTACTACTACTACTACTACTACTACTACTACTACTACTACTACTACTACTACTACTACTACTACTACTACTACTACTACTACTACTACTACTACTACTACTACTACTACTACTACTACTACTACTACTACTACTACTACTACTACTACTACTACTACTACTACTACTACTACTACTACTACTACTACTACTACTACTACTACTACTACTACTACTACTACTACTACTACTACTACTACTACTACTACTACTACTACTACTACTACTACTACTACTACTACTACTACTACTACTACTACTACTACTACTACTACTACTACTACTACTACTACTACTACTACTACTACTACTACTACTACTACTACTACTACTACTACTACTACTACTACTACTACTACTACTACTACTACTACTACTACTACTACTACTACTACTACTACTACTACTACTACTACTACTACTACTACTACTACTACTACTACTACTACTACTACTACTACTACTACTACTACTACTACTACTACTACTACTACTACTACTACTACTACTACTACTACTACTACTACTACTACTACTACTACTACTAATGGTACTTACTACCACCACCACTTCTACTACTCACACTACTGCCACTCATACTACTACTACTACTACCACTCAAACTACTACTACTAATGGTACTTACTACCACCACCACTTCTACTACTCACACTACTGCCACTCATACTACTACTACTATTTTACTTTCGAGTTCTTAGGAATTTAGGTGAATGATTATAGAAACGCAAGGTTTTCTTCATGCGTCTAATTTCTTGTCATAGTTTTTCTGGCCTTATTGTAGGCTTTTTCACCCTATCACTTAGGCAACTGACTAAGCCTACTTTAAGCGAAATCGGGTGGGAGGATTTGAAGTCTTAGTAGCGATTCGAATGACAAAGTTTCGTGTAGACGACACTTGTCTGTAAACTTCCGTCTTGTTTTCGTTTAATTTTGCAGTGCAACCTTAATAGGTCACCTTTATGACTTTCCAAATCATAAATAGATTGGACTGTATTCACTATTAAATCTATGTCAAGAACTTATTGATGTGTTTCGATTTCAGTACTGTAAATATGTCATCTACATATCGGGATGATATCTTTGAAGTAGGACCATATATTTGAAGAAGCACCCGTTCTCAGTTATCTGCAAATATGTCTGCGACGATAGGGGAATGTTAGTGATCTCATGGTAAACCCTTCAGTTCGTTTATATTATTTTACTTTGAAACTTAAAAACTGTAGACGTTAAGCACAATCGTACTCCTGATATGATCTCCTCGATCAACATCTGAGTTCCATGTGCTAGCTCATTGTTATTCTGAAGTCTATTTGTAACTGACTCGATCAGAGTCATATCGATCAGTGTATTCATGTAAACGCTAGTTATATCAAAACTCACTGTTTTCTCACTGTTATCAACTAGCATATCATCTAATCTATGATTTAAGTCATAAGAGTTAATAAGTCGAGACTTTGAGTGATTTCGCATTGCGTCTAGTACCATTGGTAAATATTTAGACAACCGGAAGTCGAGGTGTAACTGAAATCTATTATAGACATGAGAGGATAACCTGGCTTATGAATCTTAATAGTAAGGGCTAAAGATAGCCGAGTGGTTATGGCGGTGGACTTAAGATCCCATGGGGTGCATGCCCGCGTGGATTCTAACCCCACTCCCAGCAGGTGGCATTTAGACACATGTTACGTATACCTGGTCACCGATTGCCTCGTCACGCAATGTTGGCTGAAGTAGGTTCACGCTGGTAGAAAGGCCCGAGGTGGTCAGACTAAAACATGGCATCAATGTATGAAACCTCTGCTGTTGGTTTGAGCCATGTGGGACGATGCAGTCTAGGTGGTTGGGGTCGGCGGGACAAGAGGAACGAGTGGTTGGAGACTCTACATGATATGGGTTAAAACCGATATCAGTGGCGTAGATCTATCCCCACATATATTATTCTCATCTTAAAGACTCTATACCGAATTTCACTACTTTCTCATTCTTCCCCTCTCTCTTTCCCTACTTTATACTTCTTTTGACTCATCATCATCATAATCAATATCAACATAGGACCAGGCATTACTGAGTAACTGTCCGAGTTGCCACACCTTATATCATTACATCAAGTAAAGAGGTAGTGAGGTGCAAGATGAAGATTAGAAAATTCAGTCAAAAGAAATATAAAGTACGAGAAGAAGGAGAGAAGGAATGACAAGATGGTGAGACTCGGTATAGCGTCATTAAAATGAGGAGAATGTGTATGAGGATACATCTGCGCCACTGACATCGGTTCTGAGACATATCACCTACAGTCTCCAACCACTGGTTCCTCTTGTCTCGCCGACCCCTAACACCTCGGGCCTTTTTCCAGCCTGGACCCACCTCAGCCAACATTGTGTGACGAGGCAATCGGTGAGTAGACATACGTAGTACATGTGCCAACCATCTCAGTCGGTGAAGGTTCATAACCTCGTCAACCGACTTACCTCTTCTACATCCCTAAAACTCTACACCTGACTTCTGCATTACTCATGTGGTGACACCATGAAATGCGGCCTATACTATGAAGGCAACGGTGGTCAAACACTGCAAACCTTCTCATGTCTTTCACCTTGAATGGTCATGTTTCACAGCCATACAGTAGAACAGATCGGACTGCTGTGCAGTACACGCGACCCTTAATAGACAAACGGATATCACGGCTGATACTACTTCCCAGGTGAGTGAAGTGGTCGACACAGTCAATCATTTCACTCTCCATTGTTAGCCGTGGTATCGCTGAAGACGAGTCCTGGAGCAACAATTTCTTTTGAATGAATTTACTTATCTTCATCTTTCACCTCACTACCACTTTTTACTTGATGTACTGATATGAGGTGTGGCAAGTCGGACGTTTACGCAGTAATGCCTGGTCCTAGGTTGATCTAGATGCATGGATGTTAATAGAAACGGGTTTATTCGGTGTGAATTTCTTAACCTTATTCATTCACTTTGTAGATGTCCAGTTCACATTTGTTTATTATAAGTTTTGAGTTACTTTTTATCCGATTTGTCAATTATTATCATTTCGAACATTCTTATAGCTTATGTTTTAGTGTTACTGATCTTCATAGAATACATGAATCATCCATTGTCTACCGCATGGATATGTATAATGTTGTTGAGTGCACACTGCTGAAGAGTCCCATCCTAAGACGAAACAGCTGTCCAATCCTGTCACACTTCCTTTCTTCCTCCAACTGATATCAGTCTACAATGAATACTAATTTGAGATAGGTGACTAACCAACACATTGGCTAAAATCTTATCATAAAACAAAACTCTTCACGCAATATTTGGCACGATAAACAAGTACTCGATTTAACTGATCGTTTTTTAAAATTTAATTTTACAGAATTTCATATACAAAACAAACATCCATTACTATTCAATAATAATAGTAGTAATAATAATAATAATAGTAATTATAAAAGTGTAAAACGTTGACAATGGAAAGGTAAAATTACAAGAGAGACAATAATTTTTAATATTGTCAGAATGATTTATCAACAGGTTGTTGGGAGTTGTTCATAGCTTCCAATTCATTGGGATTCTCTGTTACTGTAGTTTTATTCGATTTGATCTTTGTACGTGTAACTTTTTTATGATAAGATTTCTCAGTCATCGGTGGTTTATGCATTAAAAGTATTAAACTGAATAGGATCATTAGCGTACCGATTAAAGTGATCCAACCTATTAGAAACCAAAAGCCATTCAATACACTAACAAATTGATCACATATAGCATTATTGATATTCACAGCAGCATCATACAGTCGATGACATTGACCCACTTTAGACATTATCTTTGGTCCATATTTCATAATCAATTTATCAGCTTCTTCAGGTGTTTTACGTTGAATATGTTGATCAAATAATTCTATAGCACGATCAATTAAATATGTTTTATTATTCATAATATTTTTCAAGGTGATTAGTTTATTTTGTAGCTTAGCAACATGTGGACCAATTTTTTTTAATCCAGATAAAACTGTTAAATTACTATCAATCTGTGAAATTATATTATCTAATTGAGTCAATATTGTTCGTACTTTCTCTGTAGCAGTATTTAATCGATTCATTTGTTCTACAGATAAATGATAACTTAATATATCACTATAGTATGCATCCCATACATTCCACATATCATTTATAGACCATGGAATATAATTACCAGACTGATCTAATGATGATTGTTGAATAGTTAAATAATATTTAGGAAGTTTTAATCGTACATCATTATAATTTACAATAAAATCATCTAAACGTGATGCCATGGCTAAATTATCATCAGTTTGTTTAGGGAATATTTCATCAACATTAATTGATCGTAAAGAATCAATCATGATCTGTTTTCCAACATGACTAAATCGTTTCAACATTTCTGGATCATTTAATGCTTTCATATCAAAATCTTTTATACTATCAAATGCTTCTAGAATCCCTTGATTTTTACGACAATTATATAGAATACCATAAATTGGACTACGTATATGTGGTATAGGCATATGTGAAAATTTTTTAAACAATGAAACAATTGCTAACCAATTATGATTAATAAAGTCATTAATATATTTATCAATAGGGAATATTGTTTTCTCACTATTATCATAATGTGTATTATTATGAATAATATTTTCTTCAGGATTTATATAACGACAACCTTCAGTGTATAGATATCCACCAATTAAATAGAAGAAACAAGCTAAAATGATACTCAATGCCAAAATGAATAAACTGATAGTTAAGCCAAGGTATACACGATTTCGTGTATTCACCTTCATTTCAATTGGTATAAAATGATATCGAATAATTAACCAGATAAGACCAATTGTAATCAATAATATGCTGAACCAATAGAATAAATTTAATGTTAAAAATAAATTAGATGATATAACAATTTTTGGTATAATTAATCGATTAATTATCATAAAAATATTATCAATTTTTGTAATAACTTTATTTAATTGAGGTGTCATATTATCCCATTGTTGTTCTGTCATATTCTCTATAGATTCTGGTACATTAATATATTTAGCCATTAAAGCTTTTGTTTTGTCTAATTGACTATTTGATAATTCTTTACCATGATTCAATTGAGCTTGTACACTTTCAGGTGTTTGATTTCGATCAGTTGTAAGAAATTTTAAAGCGATAGCAAAATTTATTTCTGGCATAAATGAATCAGATCGTATAGAAATATTATTAATAAATGTTGATCGTAGAATACTACATTCTCCAATACAATTATAATCATTTTGCATACTATCAATATTGATTAAACGTAGCCATGATTGAAATTCTACCTTGAATACATCAAATGTATACTTGAATGCATTATTCAATTGTACAATAGATAAATACTTTGTCATTAAGGTAACAACATGTTCACCAAGTATATCACCAAGTTGAAAAGCTTCAGTTATACCAATATCATTAAAAAATATTGTATTGAATTCATTTGTCATACGATTTTGCATCACTTCAGTAGACATAATTAATTCTTTGACAACAGGTTGAATATCAATTTTAGTCTGAGGTACAAATTCATTAGCATAAGCTTTGACTTGAGCTAAACCATATAATATTTGTGGAATAATATGACCCTTTTGAGAATTATTCTTCTCTAACTCTTTAACAGTTAATAAATGTTCAATAGATTCTTCATGAATTGATGTTGTAACTAAATTTGTATGAAATTGACTAGAAACAGTAAATCCTAATATTACACCTGTACCTAATAAAATTGTTAAAATAGTTAATAATCCAAATTGTATAGCAAGACATATCCAATTCGATTGTAAACGTTCACGTGTTCGTTGAAATGTTGATTTTGCTGAAGTTCGTCTAACTGAGTGAATTTCAACATTTTCTCTGGATGTATTTAAAATATGATTATCTTGTATAGGTGCAAGATAGATTAAAGTTTCTGAATCTTTTTTAAAATGTTTACGTCGACGACATGTACAGCATCCAATAATAATTAGGATAATACTCCATAGTATAGCACATACAATACCAAGTACATAACCTGTTCGTGAATAAGTTGACAAAATATGATCAATAATTGTCACATCTGAATGAGATGTAACGTTATCATTTACAACATCAGCTGTAGGAATTTTTATAATATTATTCAGAGTAAATGTTATAATTCCACCATCTAGACTAGGTTGAGCTCGACTAACAATCGCCTTTGCACACGAATAGATAGACTCCATGGTCAACATCAATGTAAGTTAATCGGAACAACTCGTCTAAACTCTGACCATGCCTCTGATATGACCTCGGTGTTTATACGATATATACAATATACAATAAATGTCTCCTAATTCTGATTGGTTGACTGAACAACAAAATTCTATTGGTTAAACAAAATTTCCGTGTACATTGACTCAGAAATGAAGGAGAGACGAACACACACATATACCTTCAGCCTATGCTGATTTTTATCAACATGTCTGTCTATCCAACACACAGCTTAGTCGAGTAAATTTGATTGGTCGAAGAATTTTAACAAAATGCAAAAATTTCTATTAGACATTTAGTAAAACAAACAATGTGAGCGAAGAAATATTTATTTTCAATTACGGTTAGGGAGCACAGTGCCACCAAGGTTGTATGGTTTACCAAAGGTGCATAAGAATAGATTACCACTCCGACCGATTCTTGACAAGTGAAACTCTCCAATAACATGCGACGGCGAAATGGCTAGTACAACTCTTGAAACCATTGCATAAGGACGTTGTAAAGCACAGCGTCAAAGATACTTTTCCCTTTATTGATAAGATAAGAGATTTGAATGTGAATAATAAGTCTATGATATCCTTAGACGTATCATCCCTATTCACAAATGTCTCTCTGATGGAAACAGTGGACTTCATATGTAGCGAACTGGAAAAGAGAAACATAGAAATTGCAATTACGACATCCACCTTGAAAGAGCTTCCCTTACAATGTACAATGAATGTACACTTTCTCTTCAATAAGGAATTCTATAGACAGTCAGACGGTGTCGCTATAGGGTCACCACTAGGCCCAATCTTAGCGGATTTCTTCTTAGCATAATTAGAAAATGGCCCTCTGGAAAGCATCATAAGCTGGTTAGAATTTTATTGCCGTTATGTAGATGATACATTCTTGATTGTGAATAACGAGGACGATGCAAGGATCATACTGGATGAATTCAATAGCGTCCATCCAGCGATAACCTTCAGCATTGAGACAGAAAGTGATGACAGCATCACCTTCTTAGATGTCCGATTGACAAGGAAGGTGGATGGAACTATATAAAGAAGGGTATATCAGAAACCAACGTCAACAGGTCAATACATCCACTTCTTGAATTTCGTCCCCTTGCAAATATAAACGAAATCTAGTTAAATGTTTGGTCCATCAGGCTAGACTCATCTGTTCAGATGATACTTTTGAAGAAGAGCCTCAAATTATCCACGATCTACTCAGTAGTAATGGATATCCAGAAACGTTCCTGGCTAAAAATATGAACACATCCAATATGAAAACCAGAATGCCTACAGTCTCCAAGAAATCATTGTTCCTAAGACTATAATTTCTAGGTGACATCATCAGCGAAATTGTGACACAACGCTTAAGAAATGCTATAAGAAGATCATCTAATGCTGCGAAGTTATGGGAATTAAAGACAGACTACCTGACTTCTACTCTTCTATTTGCATTTACCAATTCAACTGTTCCTGTGGAGGTAGTTACATTAGACGTACAGTTAGGCAAGTCCATCGTCGAATGGCTGAGCATCACCCTTCATGGCTAAGAAAGGGGAAAACCAGATCGATACGAAGCTGAACACTCTCGTATCTGATTGACACCGGCCACCGAGTTAACCATTCATAATGCCTTTAAAGTTATTTATCATATTCCCTCTAACCTCATTCATGCTCTACGAGTTCGTCTTTTACATACAGCAGAAGCCATAGGAATCCACCTACACAAGCCAAGTCTGTGTGTTCAGAAGAAATTCGTACAGCCTCTTTCTTTGCCTTGGCCATCTGTATAGCTTATTTATTACAACAAGACTCTTCATTTCATCCACCACACAATTGATTATAAATAATATTTTAATAACTCCATTATTATTATTACAGACTTAACCATCTTTTTCTCCCCCTACTGTCTCTAATTGCCGTCAACAACTTACCATTTTACGTAACAGTTCATTTTGCTCTTTAGTTATCATTATATAAATATCCATTATGTAAGAACCTGTTCACAAAATCTTTCTACGATAATTAATCTTTAATAATTTAATAATTCCCATTGTAACATTAAGAACAAGATATTCAGCGAAGAGACTCTTTTCAACGAATTTATTTTTATTTCTATGTACCATTCCATATATTACATAATCTATTTGTTATCATTCGCACTTCAATTGTTATTATAATCATAAATGCCTATGTCATCACCCGCTCTATTATTACTCACCATATAGTGTTTAGTTTTCCTCACAGGATATAATTTTTTCCAAATACCATATATATACGATTGTACAGCTTGAAAATTAATCTTTAGTTAACTGTCTTAATTACCTGATCAATTATCACCTTCTTGATACTTTGAGATTGATAACCCTTTCATTGAACAACTCCTACCCTAGATTGGTATGTAATTTTACGTTTGAAAATGCTATATTAGTGTAGAGCCATTGATGAGGAACTAATTGAAAAGAAATATTTCTTCGCCCACATTATTTGTTTTGCCAAAATAATGGGATGTAGTGTGTGGTTATGTAAATAACAACCTGTTCGAAATGAAATAATTCCAATGTTTCGTTTGGAAGTCTCATCCGATCTTCTTCAGGGAAAGAAAATTGTATTTTAACCTATCAGACGGAAGCAGAATATCTCGAGATAAGAGCTGTAAGCACACACCCACAAACTGAATCCTTAAATTATACATTCAAAGATCATATGCATTCAGTGAGTACGTGGAGCAGATCATTTATTTCGGAGGGGTATATTGCATGGCTGCTTGGTAAATGTATGATAGAACCAGTGGAATATTCCATATTAGACTGTTTATTTGATGTAGCATTCAGCTGTGTAGAGTATTAATCACTGGATGATGTCGTTTCGCATCAACAAAGAAACTTCAGATATTTGGTTATTCTTAATTACGTGTAAGTGAATATGCATAAATAAAGCGATTCCTAATGGTCCAGTCGTAATTTCCATGTTGTTGGCTAGCAGTGGAATGCAGGATGTGCTTTTTTTCCTGTCTGAGACTCAACAGCCGCACGTACCTTCATCTCACCTAGTGGGCCATTTCTCGTGCAACAGTATCTCTCATGGCCCAGTAGACTAGTAGATAACACTCTGACGTTTTAAACAACGGTAGCTGGGTTGAAATATCAGTTGGAATACTATCAGTCACTGAGATGCAGGCACATCCGGCTGTCGAGTGTAAGTCAAGTAGAAAGAAACGCATAGTCTAGACTCCACTCCTAGCTTGTTACCAAGTGAATTACAACATAATGAATCTTCAGACAATATCGAGGCACCCACACAGCAGGCTGTATGCCAGAAGAGATTGACCACTTCCATCAAGTCACTATAAGAATATAATATGAACGATTAGATTGTAACCCAATGGGTCAATGAAAGCGTTCTCACCGTGAAAGTTGAAGATCATGGGTTCGACCACAGGTGAGACAAGGCCATGGGTGTAAACAGCTGAGGAGTCTCATAACAATCTGAAACATTTGCCCAGTGCTCTCAAGTTTTCAGTGGTTCTCCAACTGGTGCTAGATCGTGATGAATACGAAAAAGAATATATTGCATCCATCTAATTTTATATCCTTCTTTCCGCTACGAACAAGTTTCTCTTCTTGTAGATCAATTCCAGTGAATGGCTAAAAAGGCCACCATAACAACAACTTCTGTATTTTTATGAAAATCTGCCTTTCCAACTGACATAAAGAAGAGTGAATAGTTATGTCAGTCGTTGATAGACTGCAGCTTAGAGTCACTTAATCCGAATGCTCAAACACCCACTGCTTTAATGATAATAATAATAATAATAATAATAATAATAATAATAATAATTAGTATTATTATTAGTATTATTATCGTTTAGTTATCTGAAATAGCAGCTGTGGTTTGTCAGACTACTAATTATACTGGCTGATGATTGAAGGTGAAAACTGGACCGTTGCCAAATTCGAGACAGCGACCACCGGGTTTCCGGCCAGATGGTCTACCAACTGACAAGTCCCAACTAGGAGGAAACGCACGTCCTGGATTTTACTGCCAGAGAGCGATTACTTCTGTCCAATCAGCAACGACATAGCACAAGTGACAACATTAAAATTATACTCGCTGCATAAGAAGTGTCTGTTATGAAACAGAGGTTTAGTGCATAACACTCTGGCGTTTCAATCGATCAGTCCCGCGTTCGAGTATTGGTGGGAACAAAATCTCTCACTGGAATGCAAGTACATCCAGTTGAAGACTGTCAGATAGGACGAAAAGTGCATCAAGCTGGATTCCATTGCTAATCACTATCCATCATTAATGTGAAATCTTTTATCTATTTGCTATCAAAAAAAATACAAAAGCTGATTATCGTTGATTCATTCCTATCACTTTCTTCCTCGCAAAGAATGCGAAGGCAGAGTTTCTATTTTAAGTAGTATATGAGTAAAGTTTTGTGTACTTGCTTTTAGTCTTGACCGAGGACCGACACTGGAAGACGTTCGAGTGAAGAGGATGCTGGTAACCTGATAAAATAACTAATGTCAGGTGTTTACATAAAGGAACATCTTAGCTCACAACAGTTTCATAATTACAGCATTTACAAGTACACCTTTGCGGTTCTGCTGAAAATCTTCAAAGTTAGATGGATTACAGCACAGTCGCTTTCCAGTTACCCAGGAACGAATAAAGGGGGACATTCGTGAAGATTAGCGAAGACACAGCAGTTTATAAAGTACAAGGAAAGAGGTTGACTCATATCAGATACTCTAGACTGCCTAATACAGTAAGCTAAGTTGAGGATTCTTTTGCAAATTAGTAAGGTATGGGAGGACCGGTGAAAATCAGAAGAAAAAGACACACATTGGGATAAATCACACTTGTAACATACTCGGATACACAGTGAAGAGTAGAATAGGAATCATGAGTATTAAGCAGTTTACGTAGGTTATATTCATGTGTGAAACTAAACTTTGTAGTCTGACATTTTGAAGAATTAAGCACAAGACCATTGACGGAGGACCATCGTCTTACATTAGACAGGAAATCATCCAGTTGGGAACAATTTGATGAAGAGGAGACAGGTGTGGAAACTGTTAGTTAGGTTATCAGCCTACAGGACAGAATTGCTAGTAGCTGAGGATAGTAAGTCATTGAGGAAGGAAGAGGAAAGAGAGTGGAGAAGGTACGGTGTTTTGAGGGATGTCAGACTCAGAAATTGATGAAGTGGAGTGTTTCCCTCCCTGACCAGTATATCGTTCACTTCAGGAGAAAGAAGAATACAACCAGTTTATTATACTGCATACAGTATTTGTCTCGACTAGCTTGTTCAGTAGAGGAGATCTTGGGACTGTACTTCATGTTGAAGTATATTTTAAAAAGCTAAACATGACATATTTAACACCTCTATGGAGACCATTGTGATATAAGATAGTCGTGGCATCTATATATCTTGTCGTGTGTTTTTGCATGCAAATTGATTAAGATCTTCGAAAATCTTCAACGTAACTTCAAACACAAGTATGGCTAACTCGAGTGCCTGACCTGGAGCGTGATGTCCCTGATCAGCCTTCTAAGTGCATTCCCAATCCAATCCATCTCCACTTTCTTCTGAATATTCGTTGTGTGATAGGTTCTGGGTTGGTTCTATGATATATATATAAACATGATCGCCATTTAGGTACACGTCCTCCCACCCTCAAATGCATGACCTGACTACTCTTCCCTATATATATGTGACCACGCACACATGTAAATTGGTAAACATAATGGAACATGACGTAATCATTCATGCAGTGTTGAGATTTTCGGTGAAGCATGTGTTTTGTTTTTTCTACAATAATAAGATTACCTGTGTAATACGTTTTTTAATGTCTGATGTTAGCCTACGTCTCAAACTTCTACTATTCATCTCCCCTCTCTGTGGTACAGTGATATGGAAGCTTATTTTGGAAAGGTGTATAGAGTTGGCTTCGGTGCAACCTGAGTTCCACAACGCTTTATAAACTTCGACAGATATCCATCTTAGTTGCGTGTTTTGGTCGAAATGTATTACACAAATACATGACGTTGTTCGGATAATCATCGTCTTCTAATTACACTACCTAAAATGAACATATCTGATTAAAAAGATGAGTAATTTCAAATGCATGCCAATATAATTGAAGAAGAGATGAAACGAAAATGTGAAAATGAAGATTTATCAAGAGTTGAAACACGTTCAATTGACTAGTCTGCATGATGGTAACGTAGACGAGATAACTGGGTACAGTTTATCAAATAAAGATCAAATTAGTGAGTTGGATGAAGGATATATCATAAACGGAGAAGATTTAGTAAGGTAGTAATGGTAGGAAATAAAACATTTTTCAAAGATATGTTGTCTACACTGATTAACTTCCACATAAGTGTCTAATGAATGACCGAACTCCATATTCAAGCAGATTCCAGATTACAACAGTTTCAGAAAGTTTTATTCATTGAGCTTTCATAGAATTCTCACATACTCTGTAGATGCACCGGTGTCCAGAAACAATCTAATAGTCTAAAATTGACCTGCGTCTGAATACTCTTTCCCACAGATGAAACCAGGATGGTATATATTGAAAGATGCGACTAGAAAGCGAGCGCTAAACATGGTCAACTTACTCTGATTCACATCAGTAGGTGATTTGATAGATACATAGAGGATACCAACACTCATAGCTTGTTCTTTATGCATAATAAAGTAAATGGCTGCGTACACAAAGTTAATCATAGTTTAATCGTTAGGTATGTTTTTCTCAATGAAAGATTACGCTATATTCACCAACAACTACTTCAAGGGAAACCATTGATGTAGATAGTTTGACTGGTCTCAGCCTCATAGATTTCATCATGAAAGCTTCAAGATAGTGGTTACCAATGACAGCATTTCACAGCATTATTTACCTCTTTCTCAATGGCTTCACGACTCCAGATGTTATACGTTGTGTGATACACAAAATACTTCAAGTTCACTTCTGTGTTTACAGACACCAAACTGTAGAAGTTCTTCAACTCCTGGAAATAGTCGTCTTATGTTGTCAACCAAATGTAGAACGTATGTTTATGCGATTGTACAGGTTGAGAGAGAGAGAGAGAGAGAGAGAGGATCTGTGAAATGAGGAATTTAGACTTGTTTATCCTTGCCTTGCTTGAATAGCTTCATTATACTCCTACTGCATTCAGTCGAAGGATGCCTTCTATGAAAAACACTTTGTGAGAGCTTCGTCCAGGTGCTATTGTCGAAAGGATAGGATTCTGTTGATTCAGGTCTGAACGATGACTCTGAATAGGTTTGGTTTCGATTAGACTTACCCAACCAGACTTGTATTATACTAACTCCATCCACGCACGCACACACATGATGAGTTACATGGTTCGACTCTCCAAACACAAAATCCGATGCACATTGTCCACCAATTTAACATGATCTAGTTCATCTGTATATATGTACAGTTCAATTACCTATCTGACCACAACACACCATAATTATTTATCGAGAAGAAACAACCGATTTCATACACAAAAATGAGACTATAGATTTCACTCAACAGACAGTTATTTCCCAACTACTATAAGCCATACAGAAATGGATGAGATAGGTGTCAATCGAAAACCCTTCAATCAAGCCAGGTTCACATATAATGTTCCCAATGAAGTCATAGGTAAAATGACTGTTCAAATGAATAAAATAATACACAAGCAATGAAACTTATCTGTCTGAGATTTATTCATATTTTCCAGTTGTCTTCTGAAATTAGTATCATCTCGAAATAGGATGATCAATTTGTAAATGATTTACAGATTGTTCACGATCCACACTGACATTTCATACAGGTGAGTAGCTGTTCAACTGCCATTTGACTGTGGTATCAACAGAATTGACGTCGGAAACCACTCCACATGATGTATTCTCTGATACGGAAATGTCCTGAACTAACGAGATGTATTACTAGTGAATAACTTGAGTAATTAGAAGGCAATGATGCAGATACCATTGTTGGAGAGTTGAAAATGTACTCAGCTTTGACTATTGTCAACGTGGATGAAGCAACTTGTAAATCGTTTGAATATCGATCATGCTATTCAGTGTGTACAGGTGCGTAAAGTCAGCTAGCTAGATTGATTGATTCTATTTCAGGCATAACTATTCATGCAAATCAGATAGCCAGATTAAGTCAGGTGATTTGAACTAATTCAGTTGTATCAGCTGAAATTTTTCGACTACACCATTAATGAGCTGGCTCGATGCCAGACAAATACAACAGTCGTTCGGTGATTTGATCACTCTAATCTGACTGAATGGTAAAATACCAAAGATCAACCTGAGTCATATTTAACTACTCAACTTGTTCATTAGTTGTATGTTTCATTTTTATCTTGGTTAAATATATATTCGTTTACGCGTCATAGTGATTAAATAACAGAACCGAAAATCAAACTAGATAATCTACAAAGCAAGTAATGTTTATTTGAGCATAGAGGATGTGAGTACACAGGTGTAGTGCTATGTGAAGCTGTACTGATGTGTGTGTGTGTGTGTGTGTGTGTGTGTGTGTGTGTGTGTGTGTGTGTTAGAGAGAGGCTTCAGTAGAGCACAAATCTTCATCTACATAAGAATAAACAACCGATAAGCATGTGTAATACTCATATTTTGAAATCTTGTAATAAGAACAAAGGTACAATTCAGTTAGTATAAAAATCAGTAAACTACTTTATACTGCACAATTAATTTGTTTTATTTTACTCTGTTAGTAACATGGAAAGTTGAAGTTGTTTCATCTCCTCATCTTGAAGGTGTATCATTGACTGACAATGTGGGAACCACTGGATTCCAAGGTCTAATAATCTTCGACTAGATGCCTCATAGCATCACCAATGCATACTACTGAAGTACTCCAACCTATTACGAATAGTGTCTAGCATTGGAATCTACGATACACTCTTCCTCCTACACACAACTTAATCTTCGCATGAATGCATCCATCTACCTTCAAGTCACTACTACTCTTCCCATCCATACTTGAAACCAGAACACATTGTTTCAAAAGCTTTCCACTTCGTTATAAAGTTATCTTAACTATTCTTCATTCAACGAGTATACACTAGACATTATCGCTTATAATTTCTCATAGACAAAGATGCATTCCATTTCTAGGATCTCATCACATCATGTCACATTATCAATGTTGGCCAATTAATTCACTTCAAACAACAACAAGAAGAAGAAGAGAATACAACCTATAACATTACAAAATTATGTTTCAATATGTATTTCATGTTTATTCATTGACATGACGACCGTGTTATATATATATATATACATTCAATAATTCTTGTTAATTAATCTCTGATACATGTTGATTGATTTTTAGCTTTATTTAGAAAAAAGACTAGACTGATTGAATGAAGAAATATATTCCTTGTCTAAATGGTTCAAACAGTTCAAATGGTTGTTGACGGAATAGAAGAAGCTTTTGCTTAACTGACTTCCACGTCTATAATCCATGGATCACTAATCCTTGTAGTTGTTAACCTGTGTACAAGTAAAGAAAGAGGAAAAGGTAGCGATTAAAATCTGTCCAATCCCAGACACACATCAAGTGGGTATCCAGTCAACGTTTAAAGGATTCAGATGAAGTAGTCTGGATCATATCTTCAGCAAGAGCGTTCCCGGGGTCAACAGCTCTTAGGGAATAGAAGTTGTACCTGACATCTGGCATGCTATGTTCCAGGCTTAGGTTTCCACCTCCGGCTCTACATCAATATATAGTTTTACAATCTAATCAAATACCAATCTAGTGGTGGGGTTATTATTGTATTACGCTTCCCTTGGGTTCCCACTGGAACATACGGCTTCAGTAGCAAACAGCCATTTCACTCTCTCATCTCAGTCTTCAAAACCTGACTCCACCACTGCCTACAAGCTTTCATCTCTTACTCACATGATCTCTCCATGTCACCCTCACCTCGGACACCCAACTCGTCGTTTCACCACATGATTCCACTCGACGGACTCGCCTGGTGCATGATGTCCACACTCAGCCTTCTCAGTCTATGCCCAATCCAATCCATCTCCACTCTCCTCCTCTGCATATTTATTGGCTGGTAGGTTCTTACTTGGTTGGCTCGTTGCCAGAGTTCTTTGCTGCTCATTCTCGTCAACAATAATCAAAGACATTTTAATCAAGTCATGAAGATGATATTCTACAAACAAACATGTAAATAATCTAATCAATAGAGTTGTTAAAATTGGTTATATGAAGAAGGTTATTCTTAGGTAGATGAAGTGATTTCTGATGAGTATTCATTCAGTCATAAACAAATGGACAGTCATAGAAACAAGAAGAGGAGGTTACATCATGTTGACCACCACGATGATGATGAGAGTGGTCGAACAAACTTCTTTCGAATACAAAGGTTGAATTTGTGAAGGTAGATTGCAATCACCTGTGTTGTATGAAGTAAGCGAGTGCTTAATCCATGTGGTGAATTAATTGGTGGAATATGATGATAATTTTGAAAGCGTTTCTAGTATCCACTTGATGTCCAGTGTCAACTAGGTGTGCAAGTATGGATGTCTTTATTGTTGTAATTTGTCTCTTGTTCAAGTGTGATAGGTGGTGCTGAGAAATTGGAGGATGGAACTGCCTGATTGTTCGCCGAACGTAACTAGCTCTACAGGAACAGTTGAATTGATAAGTGCACATCGAAGTAGCTTCATGTGGGACCACACATCACAACTAGTTGAACATCATGCCAATGAGAATTTAAGCCTTTTGTTAACCATTTCTGACTGACTATTACCACATTGTCTTCACAGGAGAACTGAAAATCTCCATTGTCCAGTCTATATCACAGAGTACAGTCGTCTGTATAATACTGGAGTATGTGCAGATGTACTTTAATTTTCATCACCAACATGTGAAACAAGTCAATAGAAGAATGGTTATCCAAACAACTTTATCAAAATATGCTTTTGTTTAATTCGTCATCAACTAAAAGTCATCCATAAAATCCAACAATAGATTGTTGAACTTTACTTGAAGAATGTCTCCAAGATGATGACTACATTATAAAGCCTTTGGAATTGTTGTAGCTTACAAGCCTATTAAATCTCTTCAGACTCGGTTATTTAGGATGAAGGATGCAATAAGGAAGACAACCTAATATTATCTGCAAAAATGAACCTCAGAAACTGCGAGAAAACCCTACATCGGATAGAGTGATCGCCTTCTACCTATCTGTCTACATAAACATCAACCAGCAGTAAAGCGTGATGACATATCTTTGCTCATATCAATGCATACGGGCAACTGTGGACATGAATTCAACTGGAAGATGTGGAATCGTGAATAGAGGAAATACAAAGCATCCCAATGAAGTTTTCGAAGCTTGCATTGATGTCAGTCAACGATGAACAGACAAATTGACATTGACTCAATCTACCAACCAATAAGAAACAATAAAAAGGTCAAATTTGACATCAACAGGACAACCAATCGAAATACATGTGATGAAAATGACAAGATTTTAGCAGAAACAAGTAATCACATACTACGTCATCTTGTGGAGAAAATCTCATAGACCAATTTTTCTGAAGTTTGCAGTGCTCATGATGTTGACAAGAATGACAATGGAAGTCCCGCGACTATACCATGCCGCTGATAGGACATAATACCATCAAAAGCAGGCGGAATGTGCTGATCGTGTGCGTTGATTCCATTCATAACACGTGTGTTGTTCATCTTTTCTGCTTCAATCACATATATGAAGAAGTATCTAATCATCTCTATTAATGAACACAAGCAATTCCTGAAAATAAGACGAAACTTGTTGATTAACCCGTGTTACACCGTTGATATGACTTGATCAGCGCCACTGTAGCTCATTCATCAGAGTGCTAAACATTTAACCGACAGGTCATGGCTCCGAGCCAGTACCTCATCCAATAAGTGTGTGTGTGTGTATGTGACTCATTACAAACTGCACGAATCTGCATGTGTTTAGCAAATACATTTCTTGTACTTAGGCAGACATAGAGAAGATTTACAGCTAGCTGAGAGTGATCATGAAAATTGTCTAGTGTTGACCGAACTCTAAGGTTTGTTGTTGGACGTTTGTCAGCGGCTATGCAGCTTCATCAGCATTCACTTCATAAGGAAGTAAACGTGTTTTCTGTGAAAAATCCTATTCCCCTTCAGACTATTTGCTAAATCCCGTCTAATCTCATTTCAGTCTGTATAGGTATGAGTCTTTCAGACTGTCGATTAGCTGGTTCATCTAACCAAAACACAAAGAGGAAGGAAGTTGAAATGAAACTTTATTCACAATTACAAGGCAGTCTGCTAACAAACACTATCAAATGTGGAATACTTATCTCGTTGTTATATCTTGATGAAATTCTCAGGGTTGAGAACAACAAAGTGAAGTCTTTTCATGTCATCAACTTCTCGTCAACTGTTTACCATCTGTAAACAGTTTCATAATAATGTAAACTCATGATTCAATTGAAAGTAACACGGATGGATATGTCACTGAATAGCTTATTCGTGTCAAAGATAAATCGACAGACATGAGACAATATCAGTAATGTGAATTTTTCAGAATGGAGAAGAGATTATTCTAGTTAATTCTATGCATAGATGAGATAATAACATTGTAATCATAATAAGAATAGTACTGAGTGATACGGGATGATGACTGAACGTGTAATGAAGATCTGGGTTGTGTCAACATTTCAATTAACAGTCACCAGGTCACAGCCTCAATGCTCTGTTGAGTATCCATAACACCGGTCTGCTATATCACAACTATCTCACACATTCTACCTGATAATCGATTCCTGCAATGATGCAACTCTTCGGTACACCTCCAATCATCACAGTGTATCGTAAATACCACACTGCTAAACCATACTCACTTTAGATTGTCATAATAATAATAATAATAATAATAAATCAGGAATCAAGTGTTTGTGGCATAGTGAGTTGAGCTCAGTATGAAGTTTAGAGTGAATATCGAAGACCTACTACTATTAATGATAGTGATGAGAAATGACGTAATCAAAATCGAGTTTGTAGATGAGTAGCTGCATTACTTTGAGAAGGTGATGTATTAATACTCTTCATCATTTTCCATTCCATTCATGATAATTTTAATCGTATCATGCAGTTACATGTTGAAACTGTTTACTGACTAACAACATTTCGATGAAGTCATGTATGTTGAGCTTTTGATGTAGTATGTTTGTCGAAAAGAGTACATTCTGCTGTATGCCCTGAATCCATCATATTACCCACTAGAAATAATTCAAACCATAGGAAGCTGAACGTACATCTATAACAAAAATAGACAAGGATGACTTCAATAGGCATC